TCATGGTTTGTCTGGATTACTAACATCCTCCCTTGAAAAAGCCAAGACAGCTATTGCAAATCTTCAACAAGAAATCAGTTACATTCAACATTCCCTTAAAAGACAAGGTGAGGTCAATGAAATATTGTCCACCGCTGTAAAAACCCTTCGGATGGAATCCAGATGCGAATACCTGCAGCAACAATTGACTACTTCCTGGAACGATATTAGGAACTTAATTATTCTTAAAACCAGATTCTCTACTAAAGGCAATATGAGGGTGAAGTTGGACATCACACAACCCAGCGGATGTGACTCAGTGCACACCTGCACGATCACTGTGCTTGCACTCACCAAGAGACAACCTATATTGGTTACAAGGCTAAGCCCGTACCCTACAAAGTTGGGAATAACTGGTTCTCATATAAAGACACTAAACTATATGTGGGTGGACTTATTATAGACAAGGGACAATTTCATATTTGGGATGAGGAAACATTAATCACACACCAAGACATACAACATTCTTTGGACATGACGTCAGCCTATAGAACTAATAAACCACGGGGAGTCCAAAATCTAGGACATTTCCAATGGCTCTGTTGTAATTCTAAGCTTATGTACTATGATTATATCACGAGAAAAAACATATTACTAGATGGCACAGAAAATTGTCTATTGTTGAATAATGTCATTAACATTACAAAGGACAATATTTCTATTCCCACATGGACACCAAATGTCTTATCAGAACACATCATTCCAAATATTAATGATACACATATTAAAAACATCATAATCCCACATATCCTAGAAGCTGACCAGGAATTAGCCCTAAATCATTTACAAAACGAAACTGATCATTTAGTTAAACATATGCCAAAGATCTCAAAAAGGCTAAAATCCTTAATCACATTTTGGGTACTAAATACTTTCTAGATGTAACTCCACAACTCTTTGACTGTGACTGGGCAACTGCCTGGAAAAAATTGTTCTTCCCACACAAATATACCTGTAAGGGTAATGTTGGCAGCTTGCTTAGATCTCTGTTAATTCAAAGTAAAACTAGTTTTTGGAAATTTTTCTCTAACCTTGGTCATTGGATGTTCACCTCTCTACTTCACATCCTTGTTGCTATATGTTTTATCCTTCTACTCGTATTCTTGTGTAAACACTTATTGTTAAGATGTTTTGGTTCCTGGAAGCGTTCTTGAGCTGTTGCGCTCCCTGGAACCAGGGGGTGGATATGATGAGAGCACCATAAAACTTCCTTGCAAGATGTTGAACTACCTTACAAGACATTGAACTACCTTACAAGACGTTGAGCCACATCAAAGAAACAAACACAAGAAACTCCACTTTAAAGAAAAAATAAAATGTAATATTGGGGTCCAGGCCAACACTTACATCAAAGAAGCCACCACAAAAATGTGAGACCCCTGATAAGACTGAGCTGAGACCTGACCGATGCCCAAAAGCTAGCGGAGTCACCTAAAGCATGGAAAGACCCGATAAGACCGGGCTGAGACTTGACCGAAGCCCAAACACTAGCCAAGCCACCTAAAACGTGGAAAAACCCGGTAAGACTTCACTGGGACAGTGAGAACGTCAAAGAGCTAGCCAAAATGTGAATTTAAACCCGGGTAGAAACACTGACTTTTAGAGAGCTAGGAACCAAGGAGACATCAACTCCTGCTCTCTCCAACTCTACCCGGGGTGAGTACACCGATGAGGCAATGCTTATTGGGACTATGGTGCTATTATGAAATGTGTGAGGAGTGTTGTTATTCTGCCTTTATGCTCATAGTTGTTACTCTGCCCTTATGCTTATAGCTGTTTGCTCTTAGTAGTTTGAGTAATATTTTAGATTGTTTGATGTGTGCTTGCAGTGAATAAAGCGAGCATTCGAAAATGTCTAAGAGCGTTAAGTAATTATTGATCGCGCCGCTCATGACAGCTGCACGGTGCGGGGGAGAGGGAAGAAGGGTGATTGCACCCCAGCCAGGCTGCTGTGTGCACCAGGGTTGCCCCAAACATGACCAAGAGACCCCAACTTGGGCGCGCCGACTACAGTGCTCAGGCTGCAGACGCTTCTCTGGCACCACGCCCGGTGGACTGCAAGCAGCAACCAAGCTACGAGCCTCACCTCCAGGCCCCTCCCTCCACGTCTTCCTCATTATCTCCAGGCCCCGCCCCTTCGCACGACAACACCCCACCCCCTCCTCGGTCGATGCAATTTCCTGCTGGACCCACTTTCTTTGAGTGAGAGGGATCTGAGTGAGCGTCCCACGAGTTTCTACGGGTGAGTGAGTTTCCGTGTTTCTGTGCTGATCCCAGGCGCGGAATCCCCCGCAGGCCTGGCGTCCCCAGCTGTGCCCGGGTTCCCGCAGACGTTACAGATCCTGCACCCTGTCCGCCGGTGTTCCACATCCCCGCGACTCCCTGGGACAATTCCAGTTAAATCCTTTCTGAGCTCCTACAAGCCTCAGCCTTTGGGCCGGGAATACTCTGGCCGCTTTTCTTGCTCAGAGCTCCTCCTGCACCCTCACCCCTCCCTCCAGAAAGGCGCGATTGAGGATGGATTCTTACATGGGGCCGTCCCTTCCGTGTCAGGTCACGGGCATGAGAGGATGGGAATCCCAGAATGGCCTTTCCTGAAAGGAGAGGCCAGCCTTGCAGTCATAGGTCTCCCCACTGATGACTGAGGTCTGTATTCGAGTAACTTCTCAGCACCTCGCTTTGCAAAAGGGTGCCATAGCAGTGACAGCCCCAAATCCCGCACAGATTAAGTCCTCACATAGTTTGCAGAGCCCCACATAGAGTAAACCTCTACTGAATGCTTTCTGCCCAGGAAGCCAGGTTGTAGGTAATGTGGCCCTCAGCAGAGAGGGCTTTGGAGTGCGTCCAGCTCCAGGAAAACTTTTCATTTCATCCTTTTCAGCGGGGCCCTGATTACTCTTGAGACCTGCATATAACAGTTTATTGGAACCAAATTCTAAGTATGTAAATTCTTTTTATCCTTTTGATTTATTTTTTTCATGTTAACTGTTTCTTCAATTTGTTGAATTTACTGTGCAAGAACTGTGCCCTACTAATAGCTACTCATTTTTAAAATTGTGTCATAATTATTTCTAATACAAGGCAACATCCAGATATGTAACTCTTATATATAGTAAGATAGGATCTTATTTAAAATAAGCTGCCATTTTCTCTATGCCCCACTGCATGGTAATGCTTGAATTTCTAGCCTTTTATCCACGTGTTCTTGATAAGAGGCTTGTTTTGTCCACTGCGCTACAGTGGATCTGTGAGTGATGCCATAGCACCTTGAACTCCTCCTTGGGGTTTCTAGGCTATTGTTACCACATGGCCACCTCATGGAACACAACTGCTTTCATTTCGTGGAGCTGCCAATCCTTTAACCACTGGAGCAGTAGGGCTTCTTCATGGACTAATTGAGGTAGGCCATGCTGACATGTTTTTTATTATAGACATGGTGATTATGGGAATTATGTTTGTTATTCTGATTTAGTCATGTTTCCAACACAATATCCATGTGCATACATAGACATGAATATGCGATCATCATGTTCAATTTCCCCTCTGGTTAGGGGCCATGGAGTTAACTCCATCTCATGGCTACGTCATGTGTTATATAGCAAAACAGTCCCATAGTGTTTCTGGAGCATCATGTTTGTGGAAGCAGAACTCCTGTTCTGCCACAGTAATGCGGGCTGTTTACCCCATCAATCCTCAGGGGAACAGTCGCAGCTGTTTGTGCCACCTAGAAACCTTCATTGTCCCTAACCCCCCAAACACACTCACTGCCACACAGTCAATTCTCACTCATAGTGTTCCTCTATAGGTGTCTGAGGTCAAAATCTATACAGAAGCGGCCAGGCTAATTTTCCTCTTGCAGATATGCTGGTGTGGTTGAACTGCCAGGCTTGAGGGTAGCAAATGAAGCCAGAATTCACTCCCCCCACCCCCCTCCCTAGAAATGAACCAAATCAAGCAGATGCCATCAAACCCACACCAACTCCTGAGACTCCATGTGTGTCAGAGCACAGGGATGATGCAGAGCGGTTTCTGTGACTGGTTTCTCAAAGTGCATCACCCAGGCTTTCTTCCCTGTAGACTCCGAGTAGACACAAACTTCCAGACTTTCCATGAACACCTGTCCATGTTAACCATTATAATGGTCAGGGACATCAAAAACGAAGCAAGGCACACATGTGTGCATGTACACACCCTTAGAAAAGCCAGAACCTTTATAAGTTGGAAATCTTTCAGAGAAAGGAAAACTCAAAACTGTAACATGAGGTTGAGTTTCTAACTATAACATGAGAAACCACATGGCTGAATTTGTAAAATTTGCAAGACCCAGAAAAATAAAGTCATATTGTTAATTTTCAGCTATCAAGTTTTTATGTGAATCGTACAGATATACTGTAACCTAACGTCTCTTTACCATAGCTAGAGAATAAAACTAATATCAACTTTAATAGATCTTCAAGAGAGATATTATATGTAAATAGCTTAATATTCTTTCTGAGTTTTCATGGAAGATGAACAGGTATCCAAAAGATTTTTAAGATGTACAATATTTGAGGAATTAAAAAATATTTATTACATCATTCTATTTAGCATAATCCTGTACTGTCTAGCATAATCTACTAGAAACAGATATGCAGTGGCTTCAAAAGGTTCATGGATAAAGTCCATTGTCTTTATTCCATTTTTCCATGACCTTTTTGAAAGCCTCTTGAGCATTCATGGCATGAAGAATTGGCTACCAATGAGCTCCTTGTATCTCAATTAGCTAATACTTGATATTTTTGCCTACCATTGGATTCCATATTGTGACCGTATGTAGTTTCAGAGTAAAACTATACTCTGTAAGATTTTTCAATGACTAACTTCAGAAGTTGGTTGATTTCTTCTAAGATACGTAAGTTTCTTCTACCTTGCCTTCAGTCTCCAATCTTTTGTTTGATAGTTTGCACTACTCAGGGACTTCATTTAAGGACCTACATCTTGAAGTGTGAGTGCTTGCAGTCAGAGCCCTGTGTTGCCTGATGGGTCATGAATTAGCTTCCCTTACAAATTGGTGAGTCTTTTCTAGGGCTGCTTTTCTTTCTCTGTTGGTCTTTTATGTGTTCCTATAATGATGCTTTATTGTATGTGGGATTCATGAACAAAGGCATCCTTTTGTCACAGTGGGTTAAATATTGGGCTGCTGACTGCAAGGGCAGCTGTTCACACTCACCAGAAATGTGCAGGAGAAAGATGAGTCTGCCTGCTCCAGTAAAGATGCACAGGCATGGGAGTCCTATAGGGAGTTCTCTGTCTGATAGTGCTGCTGTGAGTTGAACTAAATGTGGTGGCAGGGAGTTACATGTGTACAACGCCAGACCTTGTTCTTGACCTCTTATTGGCTATGTGAGGCTAAATGCAATTAGATTCACATTTTTGTGAACTCTTGTGACGTGCAAAAAAAAATTTATTTTGGTCACAGTTTTGGAAACTGATCTATTTGTAGAGGAGAGTTATTTAGGAACATGCTATTTTTAAAAAATCATTTATTGGGGGCTCATACAACTCTTTTCACAATTCATACATACATCCATTGTGTCTGACGTCTCCCTTCACCCACTTTTCAGTTGTCCATACCCCAGGGAGAAAGTTATATGTAGATATATATGTAATCAGTTCCCCCTTTCCTCCCCATCCTCCTTCCACCCTTCCAGTATTGCTACTCTCAGCACTGGTTCTAAAGGGATCATCTGTCCTGGATTCCCTGTGTTTCAGGTTCCTATCTGTACTTGTGTATATCCTCTGGTCTAGCCAGATTTGTAAGGTAGAACTGGGATAATGACAGTAGGGGTGGAGGTGGGGGCACAGAAAGCATTTAGGAACTAGAGGAAAGTTGTATTTTTCATCGTTGCTGCACTGCACTGTGACTGGCTCATCGCCTCCCTGCAATTCCTCTGTAAGAGGATGTCCAGTTCCCTACACATGGGTCTTGGGTCCCCAATCTGCACTCACCCTCATTCACAATGATTAGATTTTTTGTTCTTTGATGCTTGATACCTGATCCCTTTGACACCTCGTGATCACACAGGTTGGTGTGCTTCTTCCATGTGGGCTTTGTTGCTTCTGACCTAGATGGCCACTTGTTTACCTTCAAGTCTTTAAGACCCCCAGATGCTGTATCTTTTGATAGCTGGGGACCATCTTTACCACTTTTGCTTATGTACCCATTTGTCTTTTGGCAATCATATTGGGAAGGTGAGCACACAATGGTATGATTTTTTTAACATGCTACTTTTTTATTGATTTCAGTCTTTTCTTATTTCTTCATTGAAGTCTCAATGACACACCTTTCTGACATCCTTTATCCTTATTAAAATTTATTTGGTCAACCTGGGGTTTAACTATCCTTAAAACATAACAAGTAAATTCCTTCCTGATGCCCTGTGGTGTGGTATTTTTTCCTCTAGGAGCAAACCCTTTTGGGCTATCCATTCGTTAATTCCATCACATCCTTCAAATCAGTGTTTGCAATGAATTCAATTAATTAGACTAGTAAGGGCAGATAATGAAAACCACCACTAAACAAAAGGGCCCCATAGTCAGGTGGGGCCCCACAGAATGATTTCACAATGGAAATCAGCTGAGAAAGTACCTATGTTCACCTCCCTTCAGTTTTGAGGACAGATGCTTGCTCTGGGTCCTAACTAGATTAATTAATTAGAGACATTGAAGAGAATGCCTTTCTGTTGTTTGTTGCCATCTAGTTTTCTCTAATTTATAACAACACTGTGCACCCATGGGCTATGCGTTGGGTTGGTAACCACATGTTCAGCCATTCAAAACCACTAACTGGTCCACAGTAGAAAGATGAGGCTTTCTACTCCCTTAAAGAGTTGCAGTTTCAGAAACACCCAGGGCCTGTTCTACTCTGCTCTATAAAGATATTTTGAGTCAGAATTGACTCAATGATAGTGATTTTTTTAAAAAAGATACAACTGAAAAAAACAAACAAAAAAAACCATGCCCTGTGACATCCGCACTCTGAGTTCCATATGGTTAGCTTTTTTCTCTGAGACTGGAATGGTGACTTGGGCTCTTCACATATTGGTCAAGAACCTGAAAGTCCTCATTTGCATTTCTTGTAACTATTGCCTCTTTTGTTTTACTTTTTTGCTAGTGCTTCTTCATGCTCCATTTACTTTTCCGGTGTGGGAATTTCCATGAATACTTATTGCAAATGAGCTTTTCATTTGGTGGGTGACCATGGAGCTTCCCTCTCCTGGCCATGAAGACCTGGGTGCTCTTTGACTCCTTTGCCTGTACGTTTAAGAAACAGAAATTGAACTGAGCTTTTGCAAACTTATCACAGGACCCTCCCATGCTGTTAGAATTTCCTTATCATGCCAGGGTTCACTAGCTAGTGTTTTTCCTGAAGTGATCATTTTATTTCTCCCTACACTAGTTCAGGAAATGTAAATACGCATGTGTTACTGCTTAGGCTCCACCTCTGTTGCATTTCTCATACAAGTTATTATCATTTGACATTGTGCTTATTTTCTTGTTAGTTGTGGATTCATTTTCAACTCATAGCCACCTCATGTGTCCAGGGTAAAGCTCTGTGGGATTTGGAATGGTGTGCCCTCTCAGAACAGATTTTTTTTGTTTTGGTTTGGTTTGCTCAATTCTGTCTATGCTTTGCCTGGGTGTTATATTACTTCAATCAATCTAATAAATGCAAGAGCCAGTTACATGGGACTGAGGTAAGCAGTATTGTCTGAGACTCATGGCTTTTCCAGGAAAATGAGTTCCAGTTACCTGAATTGAATAGATTGTTTTCTTCATCTCCTCTTCGTACTATGCAGAAGATCCCAAATCATCTCTGTAACTGATGACGGACAGAATAACAAACTATTGGCATATGCACAGAAATGTAGTTGCCACGCATTTAGTTGAAGGTAGAGACATGGACCTGCATGCTGACTCGGTCAACATGTACTTAATGGTTCGTGACTTTTTTCAGCTATATCCTATTGGAAGCAACATCTGCTTAAAAGATACAAGAGGACTAAATGAGCCAATGTGACCAAATCTTTTTGGAAATTGCTTCAAAATCGTAGTTGCTGAATAAATGCAATGCTTAATCATGAACATGTTGTGTGGAAGAGACCCTAGTGGTTCATTGGTTTAATTGATTGGTTGCAGGCCATACCCTCTGATTCAAGCATACCAGACACATCAAGGGAGGACAGTGAGGCTGCATGGGCCCGTAAAGATTTACAAACTTGGAAACACTAATGAGCATTTCACTCTGTTATTAGGTCAAAGTGAGTTAAAATGTGCTTGACAGAACTGCATTTGTTTTTTGTTCATCATAAAGGAATGGGAAGGCTTTAAAACCTGTTACCTGATGCACTGCTGTGGATGAGATTTTGAAAGACTCTTTGGATCGACATTTATGTTACACTGTTGTAGCAGAGTTGTTGAGTGACCATGGCAGCTCATGTGACTTTATGTTATAGCTAGTTGGCGATGACGTGAAATTTTAGCATCAAAGTGCAGCCTTTTCTATGTTGTTAGGTATCATCGCGTCCATTCCAACCCCTAAGACCCTCTATGTAACAGCAGAAAACACTGCCCTGTCTGCACCATCCTCACAAATGTTCCCACGTTTCAGCCCATTGTGACAGCCCCTGTGTCAATCCATTTTGTCGAAGGCCTTTCTCTTCTTTGCCCCTCTCTCCCTTCCCAAGCATGATGTCCTTCTCCAGGGACTGGTCTCTCCTGAAAAAATGTGGAACAAAAATATGACAAGGTACAGAGGCCAGTCCCACAGCTGAGAGAATGCTAGTAGTCATCATGTTTAGCTAGTCTACCTTCCATGATCTGCAAATGTGAAAAATCTTTAAAAGTCAAAAATATGAAAAACATCTCAAAGCCTGGTGTGTAAGTCCTAGGATCCTAACACAGTTTAGCAGTCGAATGCATTGAAGTTCAGTCAATTTATAAGGAAATTGGAATCTAACTACATTTTCCCAATAAGCAAAAAGAAGGACATGCTATTATAATACTTCATGTATTGTGCTCTTTTGTGAGTATATCCTATGATCTTAGTGTATATTTATGTGAGTATCCAGTATTTTTTGAGGTAGCAGTCCGTAATATTTACATGACAGTAGCTTTGCATCTCAGAATGGGAAAATTTTGAGGATATCTATGTATTTTTTTGAGATTCTTTTTTTTTGAAATTTTTATTAGGGCCTCATGCAACTCTTATTACAATTGATACATCGATTGTGTAAAGCACATTTGTGCATTTATTGCCCTCATCAATCTCAAAACATTTGCTCTCCACTTAAGCCCCTGGCATCGGCTCCTCATTTCCCCCCATTCCCCTCTCCTCCTCCCTGGATTTGTAAGGTAGAATTAGGATCATGATGGGGTGGAGGCATTTAGGAGCTAGAGGAAAGTTGTATTTTTCATGGTTGCTACACTGCACCCTGACTGGCTTGTCTTTTCACCGTGACCCTGCTGTAAGGGGATGTCCAGTTGCTTACAGATGGGTCTTGGGTCCTCAATCTGCACTCCTTTTCATTATTTGTAAATTATTATTTTGTCATATCTTACACTGTCCAACGTCTCCCTTCACCCACTTTTCTGTTGTCAGTCCTCCAGGTAGGAGATTATATGTAGATCCTTATAATCGGTTTCCCATTTCCACCCCATCTTGCCTCCCGATATCTCCACTCTCCCCACTGGTCTTGAACGGCTCATCCTCCCTGGATTCCCTGTGTTTCCAATTCCTATCTGTACCAGTGTACAGAGGATATCTATATACTAGTTGCCTTTCACTCTTGCCTGTTTCCCTTTTCAATAGCTTGTCCTATCTCCACAAAGGTACAAAATACACAACAGTGTAACTGTAGAGTGACTGGAAAGTAGGAGAGTAACATAGACACACTATAGAAAATTTCATAATTCCCGAAATAGTCATCTCTGTCAGCAGGTAATACATCAGCACTTGATCATGTAGAGTTCTCCAAGAGGATACCATGAATCCAGGGCTGGGGTTGCTAC